CCCCCCAAAATTGTGAAGGTTTACCCATTTAAAAACTAATCATTATTTTTTTTTATTGTTGGGATTGGTGAAAGCGGGGTCCACTGTATTGTATTTTCCAGTATATAAGGTGTACGACACAAGTATCATAACGGTAACCAGTTATCATATACAAGGGTTAATTACCACTGTACTTTATGCTGAAGCGTAACACTAAGCCGACCCTTGACCCTGACCTTGAGCATAAAAGGCACAGGCATATTCTCCAAGACTTTTTGTGGAGAAAAAAAGATGTGCCTGATATGCTGGAAAATATTGTACCTCCCTCACTGCTGTCCACCAACCTTCATAAGGTTGAGTCTACCTCTTAAAATGTTTGACTTGATCTCTCTTTTCCTACAGTTTGTTTCCTTCATGTTTTGGTATCTCCCGTCAATAGAAAGGGGAACAGGTTAGATCATAATTCCAGGTGCTTCTCAACTTACAATGTTTCAACTTTATAATGGTGCAAAAGCAATTAAACTTTATAATGGTGCAAAAGCAATTAAACTTTATAATGGTGCAAAAGCAATTAAACTTTATAATGGTGCAAAAGCAATTAAACTTTATAATGGTGCAAAAGCAATTAAACTTTATAATGGTGCAAAAGCAATTAAACTTTATAATGGTGCAAAAGCAATTAAACTTTATAATGGTGCAAAAGCAATTAAACTTTATAATGGTGCAAAAGCAATTACTTTGGAGATAAATTAAGATAATTACCCAGCATGAAGGCGGCAAAATCTGTAACTTGCATTCATTTATTTACTTTTCAATACTAGTATTTAGTTACAGTAATTATTTATTCACTTATTTAGTTACAGTAATTATTTATTCACTTATTTAGTTACAGTAATTATTTATTTACTTATTTAGTTACAGTAATTATTTATTCACTTATTTAGTTACAGTAATTATTTATTTACTTATTTAGTTACAGTAATTATTTATTCAGTTATTTAGTTACAGTAATTATTTATTTACTTATTTAGTTACAGTAATTATTTATTCAGTTATTTAGTTACAGTAATTATTTATTTACTTATTTAGTTACAGTAATTATTTATTTACTTATTTAGTTACAGTAATTATTTATTTACTCATCTGACAGATATTCATATTTGACTTATGTCAGCTTAGTTCCAGACTGCCACCATAAAGCGAATCACCCTTTTTTTTTTTTTCACTTGCCAGCGCATATAAAAGCCTAAAAACATGTTTACAATATCATTTATTTGGTGCACAATAATGCTAGGCCGAAAAAAATATTCTGAAGTAAAAATAATAATTAAAAAAATTCTACAGTACCGTACTACTAACATTAAAATATTTTTGCCTTGATAATATGGCACTTTAGAGCACCATATTAGTGGAGCACACCATATTAGTGGAGCAGTCTAACGTGCCTTAAATAGAGGTACACCTGTACACTGTATATTTTTTAAACATAAAACATATTCATTTAAAATAGTTCCCCCGTATCTGCAGGGGTTACATTCCAAGACCTATCGTAGATGTCCAAAGCCGTGGATATGCAAGTTTTTTTGTTTACATACATACCAGGGCTCTGGTGGCCTGGTGGTTAACGCTCTGGCTTCACACGGTGAGGGTCTGGGTTCGATTCCCAGCCAGAGTAGAAACATTGGACGTGTTTCTTTCCACCTGTTGTCTATGTTCCCCATCAGTAAAATGGGTACCTGGGTGTTAGTCGACTGGTGTGGGTCGCATCCTGGGACACTGACCTAAGGAGGCCTGGTCACAGACCGGGCCGCGGGGGCGTTGACCCCCGGAACTCTCTCCAGATAATCTCTCCAGAAACCTACAATAAAGTTTAATTGATAAATCGCACACAATAAGTTGAGAATTATCACTTTTTCACTAATGGGATGGGAAGCACTTTACGGCTTCTCTTAGACTTCGAAGAACTACCAGCATCACTACTTTTACCCTCTGGGGCCATTAAGCAAAATTAAGAGTTATTTTCAGGCCACGGTAAACTGCGGATAACTGAAACCGTGGGAACCAAATCTGTGAATACAGGGGATCTACTGCATTTCTTCTCTGCAGTATATAGGTAATATAGTTTACATGTAATAAAATATTGTTAGGCACAAAAAACACTAACATCAGTGCATTTCAGGCAGACTTAAATGTGAAAATCCTGAATTAAGCGGAGCTCACCCACCTGTGTTAAACACAGCTCCTCAGCTTCTCTCAAGCCAAAATCCTGAGTGTGTTTGGAGGATAAGGGCACGATGCCTCAGACAACTGCTCTGACGAGAAACCTGCCGCGTATTCCAAACTCTCGTACGAAAAGTGCGGAGACAAGTGGAATTCTGTTCGGTAATAGTAACGAGAGCCATGAACGAGATACATACGAGCACCCTGAAACAAAAAACCACACGGTAATACAATGCAATAAGATACGGTAAACAGGTGATTTCACAATATGCAAAAACAACCACATTGAAAAAATAGTGAAATTCAAGACGCTTTCGTGATTTGCCACATTATCAGGACCTTGATAATGGTGAGAAATCATGAAGCGCCCTTGAATTTCATTTTTTTTTTTCATGGTAAATAAATTCAATATGTTCATAATCAACAACCTGAGTATACAAAAAGAATGGATGGGAAACTCAAAACTGGTGGACCATCCATGCTTGGGACAGATATATATTGATGGACCACGACCCCAATCCATCCTTTTCCTTGATTCACACAGTAAATAAAAGTTGTTACATTTTATGTCCAATGAAAAATTAAGAAGTTATAAAACTGTGAAATTAAACTTTTATTTACACCTCACAGTAATAATTATTAAAATGATGGGAAATGATAATCTGTAAGGGCAAAGGAACGTAATGAATTTTGATTTTCAAGAATAGGGCAGAGGTTAGTTTAAAAATATGTGCACTTTATAACAATTCCCCTGATTCACTTTTCAAGGGGTGGACAGTAAGAAGCCAGTGGAAGGCCTCTGTCAGATGACTCGAAGCTCCAGCTGCAGGTGATCATATAATTGAGACCCAAGTCAGGAAACACATTGTGTTCCCAGTTTTCTGACAAACCTTGCCTAACCAAACCTCACCTGATACCTTCTCCTTCACTCAAACAAAAACTCAGCACATAATACTCTGGCTGAGAACAGTTTGACAAATGATCATACTTATAGAGAAAACTTTGATCTATTAGTATATAGTACTAACAATATCATGCAGGTTGAGGAATGGGTGTATCATATACTAACTTTACTGATTTTATCCCCCCCCAAATTTTAATTCCCCTGCATGATGATCCTGAAGAGTTTGACCGGCCGGGAGCCCAAATAACGGGTACGAGTGTCTGACATGTCACCTGTCACTGAATCAAGGACAGTACGCAGCAGTACACCATTCTGGAAAATAAAATCAAGATACAGTCTGGAAGCAAAAATTGAAGAAAATTGTGGGATCTGAAGAGCATTTTAATACCTAAGATCATTCAGTGCTCTCACTAATATAAATAAAAAATACACACTAGAACACCCAAGTTAATATTATCTAATAAACAAAACTATAAGCATGAAGAACACAACATAAATACAGTAGTCCCCCCATATCCGCAGGGAATATGTTCCAAGACCTACCGTGGACGCCTGAAACTATGGAGAGTAGCAAAGACCCTACAGTATA